CCTAAACTTCTGTATATCTGGAAATGCCCTAATTTTGCCATCATATTTGAGAGACAGTTTTGCTGGATATATAATTCTTGGCTGGCAATTTTTTTTCTTTAAGGCTTTATATATGTCATCCCATTGCCTTCTTGCCTGCATGGTTTCTGCTGAGTAGTCTGAGCTTAGTCTTATTGACTCTCCTTTCTAGATGACTTTTCATTTATCCCTATCTGCTCTTAAAATCTCTTTTTATCTATGGTTTTGGCAAGTTTGATTATAATATGCCTTGGTTAGTTTCTTTTGGGATCTACCTTATGTGGAGTTTGATAAGCATCTTGGATAGATATCTTCTCATCTTTCATGATATCAGGGGGGTTTTCTGTCAACAAATCTTCAAGAACTCTCTCTGTGTTTTCTGTTATCTCCCTCCTGCTGGTACTTCAATCACTCATAGGTTATTCCTCTTGATAGAGTCCCAAATAATTCTTAGGGTTTCTTCATTCTTTTTAATTCTTTTATATGATTTTTCCTCAAATAAGTTGGTGTCAAGTGCTTTATATTCAATCTCACCAATTCTGACTTACATTGCCTCAATTCTGTTCCTATGACTTTCTACTGAGTTGTCTAACTCTGAAATTTTATTTTTAATCTTATGGATTTCTGATTGCTGTCTCTCTATGGATTCTTGCAACCTGTTAAATATGTCATTATGCTCTTCTCTAATCTTCTTAGGTTCCTCTATTACTTTGTCTGTATGTTCCTTGGCTTGTTCGGCATTTTGCCTGATCTCCTGAAGAGTTCTGTATATTAATCTTTTGTATTCTACCGCCAGTAGTTCCAAGAAGTTCTCTTTCTCCAGAAGATTTCTTGATTCTTTGTTTTGGGAGCTTATTGAAGCAATCATGGTCTCCCTCTTTATGTGATTTGATATTGACTATTGTCTCCAAGCCATCAATAAGTTATTATATTTATTTATTTATGTTTGCTTACTGTGTCCTAGCTTCTTGTTTTAGTTTGTTTTGATATGCCCAAATAGGCTGCTCATGTGAGCTGGTTTGATTATTGGCAACTTTGAAGTTCTAACATCCCATCACCAGGTGGTTAGATCTGTTACTAGGTATATGATCCCAGAAGTCTGTTTACTTTTCTTGTATGGATTCAGCTCAGGTGTCTAGGCAGTCAGTCACCAAGTGTGTGGTGCAGGCTCTCACCTACAGTCCTAGACAGGCAGTGGTGATTAGTGTAGGCACAGGTATCTAGCTGCAGTAGAGGGTTACACACTGAGCAAGACAGGAGGCTGATGGCTGCCCCAGAGTGTCTGAGAGAAAAGCATGTCCTTGTTCCCTAGAGCACGTAGGTGGGTGGGTTTTGCAGCTGGACTATGAGCACCCAGTGCCGTTGGCTGTAAAGACTGGGAGGCACCACTTATTCTTGGACCCTTGTCACAGGTGGCTAGGTGGCGTAGGTGGAGCCACCAGTCTTCAGGCCCCTGATGTGGGTAGGTGAGGACCCTGCTTAATGGGCAGAGCAGTGTCAAATGTCACGAACCTGCCTCCAGCACACAGCTGATACAGCTGAAGTTAGGCTTTAGGTATATACTCTGTTCTACTGTGTTAATGGGGGGCTCTGCTGTTGAAATTGGCCCACACAGGTCTAAGCAGTGGTGAAAGGCATTCATAGTCCGTGGACCCATTATGCCTGTGCCTAGGCAAAGGAGATGTACCTACCCTGAGTTCCTGGCTTAGGGGAGCTGGCAGATTATTTTCTCCTGTTTGTTAATTTGTTCCCTCTCCAAGGCCAGGAGAATGGCTCAGGGCGCATGACAGGTCCTACTTCCAGCCCAAGGGACTCGGCAATTGCAGAAGCCATCCCGGGACCCAGTGCAGAGCAGGGAGGGGGCAGGTAAATGGGAGCAAGGTTTTTCCCAAAGGGGGTGTTTTTTGATCCAGACAGTATATCGGATGCATGTACTTATCTTTTGCCGAATGAGCGTCACTTTTCACTGGTTCTGGAGGCCTGAGTAGATTCTTTGCTGCTTGGTTTCTCCCGATGTAGAAAATGCCTCCCAAGTGCCACTGTTTGCCTCACCATGCATGCCAGCCAGTTCAGCCTGAAAGGTGCTGGCCCCTGCCGGGTCAGTCTGGAAACTCCTTGCTGCTTCTGAAATGTCTTTCCCTCCCTCTGCCACTCGGTCCAATTCCTCACCTTTGCCTTTGATGTTCGGGGCTCCTAGATTGTCATATATAATTGATTCACTTGTTTTTTCAGGTCTTTACTGTAAGAGAGACCACAGGAAGCATCTGACTACTCTGCCATCTTGGACCTGCCTCTCCTGATCTTCTTATCTTAAACCAACCTATGCTTTTTCTGGAAAAATGGCGTCTTGATCAGTTTAATAAATTAACCAATGAAAACCTTACGGATCATAACATTGTCTGATTCGCTTGCTTTGGCCACATCGTCAGGAGGGATCAATCACTGCAGGAGGACATCATGTTTGGTGAAGTAGAGGGCCAGTGAGGGAGAGGGAGATCCTCAGTGAGATGGATGGGCACGACAGCTGCAACAATGGACTCAAACAGTCTGGTGATCATGAGGATGATGCAGAATTGGGCAACGTTTCATTCTACTGTACCTAAGGT